CAGCATGCACTCATGAAGATCCTTCAGGTCCGTAAGGTCATGCAGACTACTCCATTTTGGGGCCGATTCTGCATCCTGCATCCTGCATTCTGCATGCTGCACATACAGAGTAAACATTTTGGGCTGGGTTCTGCATTCTGCATTCTGCATCTGCATTCTGCATTTTCAGAGAAATACGGAATGTAGAATCAGCCCATCTATGGACTATGCAGAGAGGCAAACCCATGCAGTCTGTGTGCTGCATGCTACAAGAGTGCGCGCTGTCTGCACTGCGGTAGGCGAGGCGTGGCGGCGGCGACCTTGTATCCGAGGACCGCGGCAGGCTGAGTCGATCTGTGCGCAAATCCAGGTGATATCGTGCGCGCGCTAGGCGCGAAGAGCGGCGCCGCCGCGTGCGCGGTAAGGTAAGGTAAGGTAAACTTCTCCACACACACGAGGTGGTGGGGCAAGGGGGGGCAACCCTCGCGTCTCCACGTCTAACGACAGGAGCCCCACGGCATTCAAAGTGCAAGGCCCGGTGCGCGTGGGTGAGCGGTGTGTGTGTGTGTGTGTGTGTGTGTGTGTGTGTGTGTGTGTGTGTGTGTGTGTGTGTGTGTGTGTGTGTGTGTGTGTGTGTGTGTGTGTGTGTGTGTCACGTCACTGCATCCTCTGCGGTTCCTCCCGTCGCCTCTTCTTTGTTCGAATGTTTTTCAATCCATCCTTCACGAAGCCTTCCCATGTAGCTAGCGTTCTTTGCGAATGTCTCGAGATGGCCAGCAGGCGCTGTCTGCTCGCGGCCTGTGCGGGCCGCGCCCTCCGCGTGCGCGCGCAGCAACCACGACCAGCAGCCGCCGCGGCAGAGACGAGCCGCGGCGACGGCCGCAACTGATAACTGCCATTGGCCGTTTTCACACACACACACACACACACACACACACACACACACACACACACACACACACACTGTGAGAGAGACTCGGCACACGCTGGAGCGACACACAGTGAGACAAACTCACAAGGCTAGTCATCGTCGCCGTCCTTCATGCTCGGACACTCTGGCCCGGGACTTCCCAGCTGCTTTCGCACCGTGCAGTGCTTGCTCGCCTCGAGCCGCGAAGGCTCTCGGTCCGTCCTCGGCGGCTCCGGCATGCAGAGCCTGCACACCGGTAGGCGCGACGTCTGGTTCGTCCGACGAGGCGCCGCGCCGACATGGTCGTCTCCCTCGACGGCGGCGCTCGGGGCGTGCCTGCGCCGGCCTCGAGCGGTCGCCTCACGCTGAATCGCGACCGGCGCCTCGCGGGTCTCTTGCTCCCACCAGCTAGCTGGCCCGCCAGCTGGCTGGCTAATTGCGGGGCGAAGGTTTCCGCGTCGCTGTGCGGGCTCGCCCTGCAGCATCTCGCACCACGAGGCGTTGGCGGCCTCGAGCAGCGAGTCGAGGCACAGGAGCTGCTCGTGGGAGCCGCGGCTGCGGCACGGCTGCGGCTGCGCGAGCCGCGAATCCAGGCGGAGAGCGGTGGAGGCCACCCCGCGCGAGAAGACGGCCACCCAGTCGCGGTAGGTGTACGCCAAGGCTCGCGCTGGCGGC